CGCCCCATCCCGGGCCCGCGAACCCCTCTCATCCTGCCCTCACCGGGGTTCACAGACCCCCTACTCCGCCCTCATCCCAGTTCAGGGACCCCCCCGCACCCGTGCACCCCGAGCCCACAACCCGCCCCCCAGGCCCCCGAACGCCCCACCCCGCCCTCACCGCGGTTCAGGGACCCCGCGACAGCAGCGCCGGCGACTCGGGAAGACGTGCTGCGTCGGGCGCGCACCACGCATGCGCTCCGACCGGACCCCGCCCGGGTCCCCAGTCCGCCGTCGTTGTCATGGGAACCCCAGACTGCTCGAACCACCAGTTTAAAGGGACCGAGGAAGCTCCGAGACTCCGAGTGTTCAGCCCTGGCAGGGGCTGCACCTACACCCCCACCAGGCTCACAGTTGTTGGAGTCCAGAGGGCTGCCGGGAGGAGGCGGCGTCCAGAGCCACTGCGGACGGGAGCGAAACCGAGGAAGCGGGAAATCTGCTGTTAGAGTCCAGCAGTGCGGAGTCTCGGGTGTCCCTGGGGCCGATCCTGAGGGAGGGGCTCTATGCACGCCAGAGGCTGGGGAGGCTCCCCGCCGGCCAGTAGGGTCCGGTCTGGTCGGACTGCCCCGGGGAGATCAGGGCCAGGAGCGAGCCAGACTGTGGGGCCGTGGGGAATCCACCCTCTCTGATCTTCACTCCCGCGGCCTCGCCCCTGACCCTCCGGCCGGCCGGGTTCCTCCTCTTCACCTCTCGGAGCGTGGACAACTATTTGCCACTCCCCCTTCGGCCCCGCCTCTCCCAGCCTTGAGGTCCTACGACCTTCCCTGGCTCTGTGACCTCGGAGGGGTCGCTTGGCTTCTCTGTGCCCTTTTCTGCCTCGTGAATGCTCAGGGCCGTTGGAAGTAAAGAGCCTCGCGTGGCCCCCGCCGAGGCGCGCAGGTTTCAGGTTACTGGCGGGCCCACGCGTGCGGCGTAGACCCGCCCCTCTGCAAAGGACGCGCTCCACTTGGCGTCGGCTGGGTCCCCGCAAAGCCCAGCAGCTCCGGGGAAGGCGCCCCAGGCCCACGTCCCGGCCGCGTGCGTGCGGGAGACCCCAGCAGCCCGCTCTGTGCGGGGCAGCACCGCGCCTCTACGTCTCCGCCCCCTGCGCCGGGCCTCAGGTCAGCTGTGGCCCCCGCAGGCCGCTGGCTTCCCGATCCAGGGGAGGGGCGGTGCTCGTGACCGCCACTCTCTCCTCTTCCGGGTCGGGCGGGCTCCCGGGGGGCCTGGGCGGGGGAGACTGTGGGCCGCGATCCCGGACGTGCGCATTTCCGCGCTCTTCCTCGCGGCGAGCCCCGACGGCGGAGCCCAGCGCTGCAGTCTTGCGGGGCCCCTGGGGCCGAAGACGCCACTCGGCCTCTCTTTTTTCTGCCTCTCCGTCTCACGCTTGTGACTTGCGCCGGTCACCCTCTCCGCGCGCCGGTTACCCTCTCTGCGCACCGGCACACAGCCACGTCCACGCGCGGAGGGGGACCCAGCCTACACAGAAGCAAGGCGCCGGTAGACCTCAGGCAGCCGTGCTCTGGAAGCACGCTCTTCCCGGCCCCGCTGCAGGCTTGTCCAGCGCGTCCTGCTTAGTAGGGAGGGGTTGGTGCGCTGCGTGCCCGGGGCCCCGATGGCACCGCGGATCCATCATCGCGTGCGTACTCCCCCTTCCCCGGCACCCTGGGATCCTCTTCTTCGGGTTCATTTCAACCCACGGTCCAGCCTGACCTTCGAGCCGAACACACCCTCGACCTCCTGCCGCGACCGCGCGCGCCTACCCGGGGGACCGAGCGGCCGCCAGGGGCCGCGGGATGTCGGGGGCGGGACCTGGGGCGGCCGACGGAGCTGCCCGGGTCTTGAGTGAGGGTGCCGCGGAGCTCGCTCGCTCTCCATCCCCCCAGCGCTGGGGTCCCCTCCCCAGGGCACCGGCTTTCGCCTCTCAATTGGAACCTTCTCTTCCGCGAACAGGCTGTGATTTATTTTTCTTTTCTGGAACTCAGGACCCCGAGTTCAAGACCTGAGCGGAGATCAAGAGTCAGCCGCGTGACCGACTGAGCCACCAAGGCGCCCCTGTGATTTTTTTTTTGTACCCGAGGGAAACAAACCTCGTGAGTCTCTAGCCCCCACCCCGCCTCGGCTGCACCTCTCCCCGCGGTCCACTTTCTCCTCCTTTCTTTTGAGCCCACTCCGGCCCGGCCTGCGACCTCGGCTACCCTGAGCCACCTGCAGAATCTAGGGACAGTACTCAGTACCCCCCCCGTCCCCTCCCCCCAGCGCTCCTCCTCAGGGCGGCAGCCCTCTGGGCGCTGCTGGGCAGTGCTTTGCCCCCCCTTCTTCATGTCCCCTCCGGAGAGCCCCGTCCTCTGCGACGGTATCCAGTTGTGGCTGTGCCCCCCAGCATGCAGCCTCGGACTCGCACGTCCAGCCGCCTCCCGGGCACCGGTACGTGGAGAATGGACTTGGTGTCTGCGAGTCCAAAACCGATCTGATTGCACCCCTCCTCCCCACCCCAAGATCGAACAGCTGCTCTGCCCACAGCCTTCCCTGCCTCCGGCCAGGGCAGTCTGTCCCTGCAGATGCTCGCACCAGACCGGCGACAGCCCTGGAAATCGTGAATGCTGCACCTCCCTCCGCCGCCGCCCGCCGCCCCTCGTTGGGACTCCTGACTCGCCGCTCGGTCTCGCGGTGGCCCGCCCCCTTGTGGTCCAGGCTTCCAAGGCAGCCAGGACTTTTTCTTCCGCCTTTTTTAAATTGCGGTAACATATACGTAACATAAAATGTACCATTCTAACCATTTTTAAGTGTCCAGTCAGTGGCAGGAAGCACGTTCACACTGTTGTGCAACCATCCCCACCCTCCACCTCCAGAACTTGTTCATCTTCCCAAACTGCCCCCAAGAAACACTAGCTCCCCATCTCTCCCCGTCCCCAGCCCCCCGACACCCACCATCCCCTTTCTGTCGCTATGATCTGACTCCTCTGGGGACTTACAGAGTGGGACCATCCAGTGTTGCCCTTTGTGGCTGGCTCATGTCACTGAGCCCAGTGTCCTCAGGGTTCACCCAGGTGGTGGCAGGTATCAGCACCTCCTCCCTGTTTAAGGCCGAATAACACTCCACTTTAGGGATGGACCATGTTTTGTTTATCCACTTATCTGCAGGTGGACCCTTGGGCCACTCTGCTGTGACCAAGGCTGCTGACCTGACGGAAAGACCTTTTAAATCATCACCAGCCACTGTCCCTCTCCGCTCACCGTGTTCCCAGATCCCCTCTGCCCCCAGGAACAGTCCAAGCCTTTCTGCGGCTGAGGCCCTGTGAATGTGGGGGGCAGGTGCAGATATCTTTTCACATCAGTGTTTTTATTTTCTTAAGACACGTCCCCAGGGGTAGGACTGCTGGGTCATAGGGTAAGTTCTATTTTTATTTTTTGAGGAACTCCATACTGTTTCCACAGTGGCTGCACCAACTTACCTTCTACCAACAGTGCACGAGGGTCCCCTTTTCTCCACATCCTCCACATCCTCGCCAACACCGGTTGTTTCTTTACTTTTTTTTTTTTTTAGCGGAAAGATTTTTTTTTTCTTCTCTAAAAGGCAAAAAACTACAAACACCTCAGGTCCTGAGCTCCCCAAGACTTGGGTCCTCCACTGCCCCCCTGAAACCCGGCAGGAGAGGGGCTGGGGAGTGTGGAGAGGTTGGTTCTTTAAAAAGTCACCCCTGGACGGAAGGCTCTTCGTCGTTCGCTGCCTTCCTCCGCCTCTCGCGGGCCGCCGAGAAGAGGGGATGGCAGGGCCCAGGGCTATGCCGGCAAACTCAGCTTCTTCCCCTTCAGGACTTCGGTGATGGAGAGGTAGAAGAAATCGCAGTAGAGGACAGTCTGGACTAGGCCCGCCACAATGGCGATGAGGTCGAAGAAGCCCTCGAAGCGGTAGCGCCAGATGCAGTTGAAGAGATTAGAGCGTGCGGTAGACGCCCAGCGCGGACAAGCAGTGGCTGGTGATCGTCTCGGCCTCCCCGGTCTTGCTCACCAAGAACAGCTGGGGCAGGATGGCTACCGACTCCAGATAGATGGAGAAGGTCCAGAGGATCTCTAGAGGGGTAAAGTCATAGTTGACCAGGAACGCCAGGATGGCCGTGGGAACAACGAGGAACTCCACCCGGAATGTGTCATGGTTCCATTGTAAGTGGCTTTGAACTTGCTGTAAATCATCCAGACTGTGGTGAAGGAACAGGCAGTGTAGACCGCCTGCATGCATGTGTTGTACGGTGAGATGTAGTTGGTGAAGAGGTCCAGGTATCGGCCAGTGAACACCACAGCAAACAGGACCGGCTCTTCCCTGAAATTGCGGCACAAGGGCGGGCGGGACTTCCAGATTTAGAGCAGTAGCAAGATGATGGCTAGGAGGTGGGAGAAGTCTCCCAGGAATCGGAAGGTTTTCATGCTTTAGGGGGATCTGACAGGGCTGGGCTGGTGGGAGGCAGGCTGGAGGGGGTCTGCCCCCCGGGGCTGATGTTCTGGCCCAGTGGCTGGGCTGGGGGGGCGGGAGAGGGGCCCTTGGGTGGGCTCCGCTCTGGGGAGGGGGCTCTGGGAGGGGGAGCTGAAGTGGGAGCTGGTCACCTGTTGTTTCTTGTCTCTTTGATGAGAGCCATCCTAACGGGGGTGAGGGGATTGCTCATTGGGGTAGTGTCTCTTCTTATAAGGACACTAATCCTATCACATTAGGGCCCCTCCTCTATGACTTTATTTAACCTTGATTTTTTCCAGAGAGGCACCCCTGCTCCAAATGCAGCCACACTGGGGGTTAGGGCTCCAAAATATAGATTGGGGGGATACAAACATTCAGCCCATTACACTCCCATCCTCCCTAGACCCCTTTACCCTGTCCGACGTTTTTAATTCTCCTTACAATTCTCATCTTCTGACTCACGATACACTTTATTCGATATGGTGATTTTTCGTTGTATCCAGAGTTCTTGGAGGGAGGGGAGGAACTTTGCCCTCAAGGATATTTGGCACTATCTGGGGATATTCTGGGTTGTCATGGTGCAGGGGAGAGGTGCTCCTGGATAGAGGAGGCTCCTGCTAGACGTCCTACAATGCTCAGGGAGAGCCCTTGGGAAGAAGGACTTGGCCCATATTGTCCCTGCGGCTGCTGGGAGGGGCCCTGATCTGTATCTTCTCATTGGGATGCCAGGCCCTGGAGGGCAGGAGCCTGTATCTCTTTGGCTCCGTGCTGTGTCTGCAGCATCTAGAACTGCAGGGCCTTCAGAAGATGCATGGGAAGCATAAGGACACGAGTGCCAGGGGCCTGGGGCTGGGGGCAGGAAATTGGCCTGGGCAGGAACAGGGAAGCGCCGGCCACACGCCCAAGCCTGAGGGGGAGCTGCTTGATCGGGGCTTGGACAAAGGGGCACACGCGGAAGAGGCCACTGCAGCCAGTGGGAGAGTGGGGGCAGATGGCGGGAGAGACAGTGCTCCCTGGGTGCCCCAGTATGGTCAGGCTCCCTGGGAGGGAGGGGCCGCTGGCCTTGCCGAGAGCCGCCTTGAGAGATGAGGGAGTGAAGGGGTGCAGAGAGAACCCTTGGGGGGAGATTCATGTCAGAAATTGTGCCTTAGAGACGTTGGCTCTCCAGGCCTGGCTTCAGAGCCTCCGCAGGCTGCAGATTGGGTCTGGCGTTGTCAGCATGGGTATGGCCTCTGCCCTGATACCAGGAAGCTCTGGAAATGAATATTTTTTATTTAAACTCAGTTAATCAACATATAATGTATTACTAGTTTCAGATGTAGACTTCAGTGATTCATCAGTTGCATTAACACGCAGTGCTCATCACATCACATGCCCTCCTTCATGCCCATCCCCCAGTTACCCCATCCCCCCCTCCCCTCCAGCAACCCTCAGGTTGTTTCCTGAGATTAAGAGTCTCTTATGCTTTGTCTCCC